CTTCATGCCTTGGATATGGGCTGTGGTCCTTCATGCCTTGGATTTGGGCATTGGTTCTTCATGCTTTGGATTTGGGCATTGGTTCTTCATGCTTTGGATTGGGGCATTGGTTCTTCATGCTTGGATTGGGGCATTGGTTCTTCATGCTTTGGATTTGGGCATTGGTTCTTCATGCCTTGGGTTTGGGCATTGGTTCTTCATGCCTTGGGTTTGGGCATTGGTTCTTCATGCCTTGGGTTTGGGCATTGGTTCTTCATGCCTTGGATTTGGGCATTAGCTCTTCATGCCTTGGATTTGGGCATTGGCTCTTCATGCCTTGGATTTGGGCATTGGCTCTTCATGCTTTGGATTTGGGCATTGGCTCTTCATGCTTTGGATTTGGGCATTGGCTCTTCATGCCTTGGATTTGGGCATTGGTTCTTCATGCCTTGGGTTTGGGCATTGGCTCTTCATGCCTTGGGTTTGGGCATTGGTTCTTCATGCCTTGGATTTGGGCATTGGTTCGTCATGCCTTGGATTTGGGCATTGGTTCTTCATGCCTTGGATTTGGGCATTGGTTCTTCATGCCTTGGATTTGGGCATTGGTTCTTCATGCTTTGATATTTGGGCATTGGCTCTTCATGCCTTGGATTTGGGCATTGGTTCTCCATGCCTTGGATTTGGGCATTGGTTCTTCAGATACTTCCGTATTCCTGTTGTTCCTCTGGTGGGTGCTCCTCGCAAAGGTGTACATATATCTGTGTCAGTCAATGGATAAGAAAGAAAAGGACTTACTGTAGAATCCTTATGCTGGAGAACATTGTGAGGTTTTGATTTTTTTGATGGCCCTTGCACTGCTTGCTCTCAAAACTGAGACTGGGTAGAGAAGGGGTGATAGTGGAGGCTGGTGTTTCTGGTTGCCGATGTCCAATCCTCCAGTAGGTGGCAGTATAACCCAATGATTGAAGAATTCATTTGTCACTCAATGGATAAGCGAGACATTAAAAATACTTCTTTGGAGTTATTATGGTCTGTCACGGGTTAAAGATAATGCAGTCTCAGTGAACCATGATAAAATACCATACCGAGCGTGGGTGGGCGGAGTCTAGGTATGGATACCATGTTATATAAGATCACCATATAGCATGTGGGCAGTATGAGAGTCTGGGGACAGATACAAAATGATTGTAATATGTATAAGACCACCGTATACAGTGTGGGCGGAGTCTCGGTCTATTGTTGCAATATTATTATACAGGATATAAGATCAATATATGCAGAAAGCAGGAAACATTTTGTTACTCAGAAGAAAAGTAAGTGCAGTACTCTTCTGTACCAGCAGGGGGAGACAGAGCACAGTGTGCTGATGTTGTGCTGCAGCTGAGACTTCTATTATGGCTTTTTATTCAGCCCATGGAACTCCTATGTCTCCTACACTGAGATCTCCTACACATGATTCCTGAACAGGGATGGTGGGAACCCCTCATAATGGGCACAGCAGGGGTACAGACCCGGGAACTCAGCACAGGGATGGTGGGAACCCCTCATAATGGGCACAGCAGGGGTACAGACCCGGGAACTCAGCACAGGGATGGTGGGAACCCCTCAAAATGGGCACAGCGGGCGTACAGACCCGAGAGCTCAGCACAGGGATGGTGGGAACCCCTCATAATGGACACAGCGGGCGTACAGACCCGGGAACTCAGCACAGGGATGGTGGGAACCCCACATAATGGGCACAGCAGGCGTACAGACCCGGGAACTCAGCACAGGGATGGCGGGAACCCCTCATAATGGGCACAGTAGGGGTACAGACCCAGGAACTCAGCACAGGGATGGTGGGAACAGGGCTGTGAATAAGGGAGTACCCCCAGTCCCCCTGTACTGGGCCCAATCCAACAGGGGGGATGTGGGCATGGATGGTGAGCAGCTTGTGGGGGGGGGGCAGCTACTGGAACCAATCCCCTGTATGGCTGTCTCTGCAGCAGCTGGAAGAGAGAGCCATACAGGGGATCGGTTCCAGTAATTTCCCCTCGCACCCATCACCCACCCTGTGCACCATATGTTTCCCCTGCTGCCCAGGCCCCCTGTGTGCCCCCCCCCCCCTCCGCAGCACTGCCGGCTTCTCTCTTCTTCTTCCCTCTGGCAGCACACAATCAGATTCTGCAGGATGTAGAGTGCGGGAAGGGCCTGGTACATATTTTACATTTACTAGCCCCTTTCTTTCCTGAATGAACATGAGTGATTGGTACCGATCACTCATTGTCTTCATTCATAACTGAAGCATAGTAAACTGGGGGGGGGTTCTGTCAGGTTTGATGTATGGGGCTCCATGGTTTCTAGCAGCAGCCCTGGGTGGGAACCCCTCATAATGAGTACAGCGAGTGTGCAGATCCAGGAACTCAGCACAGGGATGGTGGGAACCCCTCATAATGAGCACAGCGAGTGTACAGATCCAGGAACTCAGCACAGGGATGGTGGGAACCCCTCATAATGGGCACAGCGGGTGTACAGACCCGGGAATTCAGCAGAGGGATGGTGGGAACCCCTCATAATGGCCACAGCAGGTGTACAGACCCGGGAACTCATCACAGGAATGGTGGGAACCCCTTATAATGAGCACAGCGAGTGTACGGACCCGGGAACTCAGTACAGGGATGGGAACCCCTCATAATGGCCACAGCAGGTGTACAGCCCCGGGAACTCAGCACAGGGATGGTGGGAACCCCTCATAATGGGCACAGCGGGTGTACAGACCCGGGAACTCGGCACAGGGATGGTGGGAACTCCTCATAATGGGCACAGCGGGTGTACAGACCCGGGAATTCAGCAGAGGGATGGTGGGAACCCCTCATAATGGCCACAGCAGGTGTACAGACCCGGGAACTCATCACAGGGATGGTGGGAACCCCTTATAATGAGCACAGCGAGTGTACAGACCCGGGAACTCAGTACAGGGATGGGAACCCCTCATAATGGCCACAGCAGGTGTACAGCCCCGGGAACTCAGCACAGGGATGGTGGGAACCCCTCATAATGGGCACAGCAGGTGTACAGAACCAGGAACTCAGTACAGGAATGGTGGGAACCACTAATAGATTAGCAGATGGAATCGGTGGTCCTCTGTGGTTCAGGTTACAGACGTAGGGTGTTGATGGAAGGATTTTGCAGTGTAAGTGTAGCCCCTCCTAGTCAGCTAGGGGCAGCCGGAGTCCTAATTGTTAGTCAGAGGGTCAGATTCGGGTCAGAGCTGAGAGCCACTGCAGGTCACTTCTCTGAGACTTCCCCCTGCACTAGGACTTTGGAGAAAGTTCTAGAAGCAGTGGGCAGATTTTAGGAGTGGCTTATCTGCACCTTTGAGAGATCCTGGCCAATCCCCAACAGGAGGCTTGGCAAGGGGCCAGGACAACCCTTCAAAGTGGCAAAGCCCACTCAGTGGGGGGGGGGGGGGGGGGGCAGGAGAATTGGAGGAGAGTTCAGGTGGAAGAGGATGTGAAGGCTGGGGAGCAGGAGCCTGGGAGGAGGCCCAGATGGAAGGGGCTCACCTCCAGGCAGGCACCTTGGAAGGAGGAAAGCTCAGGACGTCACTGGCCCCCTGACAGAGGACCACCAGTGTAGCAGGGAAGGAGCAGCCAAGCTAGAAGGCCTGGTGGCAGACACTGACCCACCCGCAGCATAGAAGTGAGTAACCCTGCACCCCCTGGGCCAGATAGGGGAAGGAGCACTCTGGTGGGGAACCAGTTTAGTAACTACCCAGGTCTGTCTACTTTCAAAGCCGTAGGCAGTGGATCCCCTGCTCAGGGATTCCTCCAGATAGTGGAGTATCTGGGGTCTAGGGTGGTACAACAGGAGACTCTGGCTAGCTCTCCGTAAGAGACTGTTTTCTGGAACCACTTGTACTTAGTTCAGGAAGTTGTCCTCGGTTCCTCAGTTCCATTGGGCATCCCGTACACCCCTTGCTCTATCCACGTTGAACCCCCTCCCCCCCTCAGACTTCATAACAAGCTCAAGGACTGGTTTCTGACTCCTGAATGCAAGTTTGTGTGTGGAATCCATGTTGTCTGGTTGTGCAGGGCTATGGGGGGACCCAAATACTTTGCAACTCCTAAGGGGGTAGCGCTACAAAGGATCATCAAATGGGAACAGTTGGAGGATTTCGAGACGGTTTGCACAATGGCAGTTCTTGCACACTTACAGACTCTTCATAGATGGAAGGCGATTGGGAAATCTCTGAGGGAGGAATTTGCAGAGGGAGTCTGTTCTTACTTCCCCTTTGGATGGTCACACGACCAGGATGAGTCAACTCCTATGTATCAATAGATAGATATTTTCACCATCTTGACAGAACAATGTGCCCAGCATGCAGGAAATCAGTAACCGCATAGACTCAGCGTGACACAACCCAGTCACCGTTGTCACAAGTGGTGGTGGATCTCTTGGGTGGACATCACAAGAAGCCACCAGGTCACCCCACCACGTGCTGTCAGAAGATCTGATGGGTCTCCACAACATTCTGTAAACAATCTCTGCATGGTCGCTCTATAGACACACCAAGTATTCCGAACCTTGTCCATTTGTCAGAGTCTTTACTATAGACTGCTAGAGACCCTCAAAGGGAACATTTCCTTCAAACGTGTCTCTAAAACAACACAAACCGGATGGTCATCTTATCTGCGATTCACCCCAGCAGTTGGTGACGGAGGAATGGGAGGAGCAGAACATACCAGGAGACCATAGCATTTTTAGGACCCTTTGCTGAGGGATTTGTTTTTTAGAGGTTCAACAAAGGCTTTTGGGCCCTTTGTATCTATCCATAGTTGGAAATGTACACAGGTAGTAGCATCACAGGAGGGGGATGGGTAGCAAGGAGCTTCTGATGAGGAAATCACATGGTCTGGGGTTGGTGGGGAGCCTGTGTAGCCTAACCACTGTGCAGGCAAACAAAAGCATGGCCAATAAATGTTAAACTACAAAGTATGGGATGCAGATCCCGGAACTCATTATGGGGATGGTGGAAAGAATTTCCTGCAGTAGTTTGTGTCTCTGCCCCTCCCACAATGGGGAGATTTCCCGCAGTAGTTTGTGTCTCTGCCCCTCCCACAATGGGGAGATTTCCCTGCAGTAGTTTGTGTCTTTGCCCCTCCCACAATGGAGATATTTCCCCCAGTAGTTTGTGTCTCTGCCCCTCCCACAATGGGGAGAGTTCCCTGCAGTAGTTGGTGTCTCTGCCCCCCCACAATGCAGAGATTTCCCCCAGTAGTTTGTCTCTGCCCCTCCCACAATGGGGAGAGTTCCCTGCAGTAGTTGATGTCTCTGCCCCTCCGACAATGCAGAGATTTCCCCCAGTAGTTTGTGTCTCTGCCCCTCCCACAATGAAGATATTTCCCCTAGTAGTTTGTGTCTCTGCCCCTCCCACAATGGGGAGAGTTCCCTGCAGTAGTTGGTGTCTCTGCCCCTCCGACAATGCAGAGATTTCCCCCAGTAGTTTGTGTCTCTGCCCCTCCCACAATGGTGGGATTTCCCGCAGTAGTTTTGTCTCTGGCCCTCCCACAATGGAGAGATTCCCCCCAGTAATATGTGTCTTTGCCCCTCCCACAATGGAGAGATTCCCCCCAGTAGTTTGTATCTTTGCCCCTCCCACAATGGAGAGATTCCCCCCCAGTAGTATGTGTCTTTGCCCCTCCCACAATGGAGAGATTCCCCCCAGTAGTAGGTGTCTTTGCCCCTCCCACAATGGAGAGATTCCCCCCCAGTAGTATGTGTCTTTGCCCCTCCCACAATGGAGAGATTCCCCCCAGTAGTATGTGTCTTTGCCCCCCCCACAATGCTGTGTTGTCAGCAGGGGCGGACTGACAACTCATGGGGCCCCCGGGCAATAGGGGATCATGGGGCCCCTGTGTCCTTGCCCAAACTCAAAAAAGCCTATGAAAAAGGTACCAGGAGTATCTCATGGGGCCCCCCTACTGACCCCGGGTCCTCGGGCAGTGCCTGAGTTTCCAAATGGTCAGTCCGCCCCTGGTTGTCAGAAAGATTGCACTGTTATCAGAATTTAAAAAAAAAAAAACATGCTAGGATGAGTCCAGAAATGTCCAAAAGGTCCAACAAAGTTTAAGCAAAGGTCTCTCCCAAAGCAATAACTTCTCCTTCAAGGCAGTGACTCCTCCCCCTCCAGAGCATTGACTCCTCCCCCTCCAGAGCAACAACTTCTCCCTCTCCAGGGCAGTGACCCCCCCTCCCCTCCTCCTCATCTTCTCTTCGGCTGTGATCATGAACCTGAAAAAGAGTTTGAAGGCCACCATCTTCTGATATACTGTACACCCCATAGTGGTCGGTGACACCAATGTTTCAGCTTCCCTCTCTATCTGGTGTTTAATAAATAAATCAGAATTCATAGAAAAGGTTCAAGAAAACGAGGATTCATCACTTCAAAATCCTCCAAAATAATTAACAATCGACCTCAAACCATTATCATTTCCTGTGGTCAGCCAAAGGCAAATTTCCTTCCTTCCTCCGGAGGATGAACACACTTTCCATTCACAATATCTCATCATGGCGTGATGGTTGCATTGTGTGCGATGGACTTTTCAATCACCTGAAACTGGAATTCCGATGGATGGAATGGAATGACAGACAGACAAGGTGGTCGATATCGTCTTTTCAAAAAGTTTCAAAGCCGAACTCCAACCAAAACATTTTATTTTAGAATGGCAGGAAGTGGTTGGAGTCTCGGTCAAGTTGTGCTGCTATTTCCACCACTAAGAACCAGCTGACATCTCAGACCTGGCTAACCAACCTCGGACAGTCTCACATTTCAGGCACTGGGGGAAGTGTTTAGTCAGCACATAGAATTCAGGCAGGTGTCAGGAGATGGTACCCATGCAGAGAAATAACAGCAGGCTCAGAGATTAGAGTCTCCAGGTTAGACCTCCTCGTGACGGCACAGACGTCTCCCTGACCGAGTCTGGAAAAGACGTGAGAACCCGCAAGGTGGCAACACTCTCCAGCATCTACCCAGCTCTCAGCTATCGAATTTGGATCAAGAATGTAAACAAAGAACAGTTCTTCGGCCCATTTCTATAAGGCCCCTTTTCATACTAACGGTCCGGTTGGGTCCTACTGTCAGTTTTTCAGACAGAACTGATTGGACCATCCATAGACCTCTCACACCCATTGGCAACCGATCCGATCCTGTATGACAAAAACAGACGGATGGCGATCCGTTCCCCATCCATCTTGCTGATCGGATCAGATGGCAGCTGGAAGGAATCGGACAGGCGATCCATTTCCATCCGACCACCCCATAGAAGATGGCCGGCCGTGTCTGTGCCGGCTCTGCTGACACACACCTGTCATATGCCTGCTCAGCAACAACTAGCGGGTCTTCTATGGGGTGGTTGGATGGAAATGGACCGCCTGTCCGATTCCTTACAGATGTCATCTGATCCGATCAGCAAGATGGACGGGGAACGAATCGCCATCCGTCTGTTTTTGGCATACAGGATCGGATCGGTTGCCGGTGGGTGTGAGAGGTCTATGGATGGTCCGATCAGATGCACCTGAAAAACTGACAATAGGACCCGATCGGACCATCAGTGTGAAAAGGGCCGAAGAACTGTCGGAAAGGGCCGAAGAGATCCCCCGCTGAGCAGGAGGAAAGGGGCCTAAAAAGTTTCAATTGCTACAATGCCTCCATATCTCTCGAAACAATGTAACCAAGGTAAAACACAGAGATTGTTACTGCCAATACAGTCATGGTGGTCCAACCAAGGATGTCCATTCCTGGTCTACTCATCTTCTCATACCCATAATACATATAGCCATGACCTGACCTAAATATTAGCCAAGAGAATCAATATGTTCCTAAGCAAAAAGGCCTGGTAGGGTTTACCTCCCCCCACCAAGCTGAAGACTACAGTAGTTGGAGAAAATTATGCTGTTCGTCAGACTTCATCGAGCATTCAATACGCAGTCCTGGCCTTGTTCGTGTAGCACTATCCCACTAGAAGCTTTGGGTCCCCCTATAGTCCTGCTCAGCCAGACAACACACCACCTAACGAGCTTGCATCTAGTCAGAGAGCAGTCCTTGAGCTTTGGTTTTTGTTGTTTTATTTAGGGGAATTGAACTGGGGTCATGTTAGGGGTGTTCAGGATGCCCAAGGGTCCTGATCAACTGAGGGCAACTTCCTGGAACTATTAACAAGCCTGCAGGACAGTCTCTGTTGGAGAGCTAGCAAGGGTCTCCTTAATGTGCCACCCCAGACCCTAGATGAACTTCACCTCTTCACCCAGCGATCTGGGGGTTTCCCTGAGCAGGGGATCTGGTTCCTGTCACTTTAAAAGATGAACATTCGTTGGGTAAATAGCTAATCTGGTTTCCCACCAGAGTGCTCCTTCCCCTATCTGGCCAGGGGGTGCAGGTCTACTCACTGAGATCCTCTCTACCGCTTGTGGTTTGGTTGCTTCTACCAGGCCTATCAGCTGGGCCATTCGTTCCCTGCCATGCAGGTGGTCCTCTCTCAGGGGGCCGGTGAGCCTTGAGGTTTCCTCCTTTCCAGTTCCAGGCCTGCATTTAGACCCCATCCTACTGGACCTCCTCACAGCCTCCTTCCTTCAGCCTCACATCTTCCACCCGAACTCTCCTCCAACACTCTCCTGCAACTGAGCAGACTCCAATACTTTTAAGGGTGTCCAGCCCTTTGCCAACCTCTTGTTGAGAATTGGCTAGGATCCCTCGAAAGTGCAAGCAGCCACTTCTCAGATCCACCCACTGCCTCTAGAGCCTCCCTCCAAAGCCCTAGAGCAGGGGGAAATTGCAGACGGGCTGGCCTGCAGAGCCTCTCAGTCCTTACCACAGTTTGACCCCTCTCTGGCTATTACATTTGGACTGCTGCTCAGCCCCTGTCTAACCATTGGAGTTTAGCTCCCCCTAGCTAAACTGGGAGGGTTCTACATTAGATTGAGGCCTTGTGCCAGTAGGGTTTTGGTGACAACTTATTTTATTGAGGTTTTTCAAAACGCACACACACATATATATAGTAATATTGAGAAACTCGGGCATTGATGGTACTACTGGTTGGACTACACCATTTCTAAAGAATACAAACTCATCCTTTTCACCAAAGAACCCCACAACCTAGTGTTGGGTGATCCCAACAGCCTTCGACCCCGCCTTCCCTCAGCACACCCACTATACGCCTTTACCTACTTCTATTTCTCCTACTCTCCCTTATCTGTTCCCCCTGCTACCCACCCTACCATCCCCTAAATCAGTGGTCTCCAAACTGCAGACAGTGGGCTAGATGTGGCCCTTTCCTTGTTTACCTGATACCAACGATGGAGCACTATTCCTCCCACTGACACCAATGATGGGGCACTATTCCTCTCACTGATACCAACGATGGAGCACTATTCCTCCCACTGACACCAATGATGGGGCACTATTCCTCCCACTGACACCAATGATGGGACACTATTCCTCCCACTGACACCAATGATGGGGCACTATTCCTCCCACTGACACCAATGATGGGGCACTATTCCTCCCACTGACACCAATGATGGGACACTATTTCTCCCACTGACACCAATGATGGGGCACTATTCCTCCCACTGACATAAATGATGGGGCACTATTCCTCCCACTGACACCAATGATGGGGCACTATTCCTCCCACTGACACCAATGATGGGGCACTATTCCTACCACTGACACCAATGATGGGGCACTATTCCTCCCACTGACACCAATGATGAGGCACTATTCCTCCCACTGACCCCAACCTCACCATCCAAATCCTGGATCCCCATACGAGGTCTTCTCCAGGAGAAACGGTAACCCCAACCTCACCATCCAAATCCTGGATTCTCATATGAGGTCTCCTCCAGGAGAAACAGTAACCCCAACCTCACCATCCAAATCCTGGATTCCCATACGAGGTCTTCTCCAGGAGAAACAGTAACCCCAACCTCACCATCCAAATCCCGGATTCCCATACGAGGTCTCCTCCAGGAGAAACAGTAACCCCAACCTCACCATCCAAATCCGGATTCCCATACGAGGTCTCCTCCAGGAGAAACAGTAACCCCAACCTCACCATCCAAATCCCGGATTCCCATACGAGGTCTTCTCCAGGAGAAACAGTAACCCCAACCTCACCATTCAAATCCCGGATTCCCATACGAGGTCTCCTCCAGGAGAAACAGTAACCCCAACCTCACCATCCAAATCCCGGATTCCCATACGAGGTCTCCTCCAGAAGAAACAGTAACTCCAACCTCACCATCCAAATCCTGGATTCCCATACGAGGTCTCCTCCAGGAGAAACAGTAACCCCAACCTCACCATTCAAATCCCGGATTCCCATACGAGGTCTCCTCCAGGAGAAACAGTAACCCCAACCTCACCATCCAAATCCTGGATTCCCATACGAGGTCTCCTCCAGAAGAAACAGTAACTCCAACCTCACCATCCAAATCCTGGATTCCCATACGAAGTCTCCTCTAGGAGACCTCTCATTAGTCATCCAGGGCCTGTTCTATATCCATTGTGGTCTAGGGCACCATTCCCTTCCATCCCCCCCCCCCCCCCCAAGGGTGGTGCATTCTTCCTACTGACCCCAGATTCATACATTTTAGCATTGGATCCCTGAGACCTGACTTTTTTTTTTACTGGTTCTGGGGTACAAAGGTTGAGAAAGGCCAGTGTGGACATATAACATTGTTCTTTTATTCACCTGGAATCTTGTGTTATATTGTTGACAACACGTGACGGTTGGGCCCTAAAAACTAATAAAACACTTGAAAAAGAAAAGGTACGAATGGCAGACACAGGAGTGGTGGTGCAGCTCATACGGTGGGTGAATGGTCACACGTTTCATATTGACTAATGACTTTTGTTAACCCTTATTGTTTCTCTCGCTGCTTCCTTCTCTCACTTCCTTTTACTGATAGAAAAGGGGAATTCAAGTTTGTTGAGCGGTCACATGAGCCTGGAGCCGCGTACTGGAGATAACGGGACGGGGAAACAATCATCAGACGGGGAGAGAGGCGGCTAATCACAGCATCCAACTCTAGACATGGACTATCTATGGAGACTTCTCACCATCTCTGTCCTCATAGCAGGTAGGACATCTGCCTTTTTCCATCTTGACCTCCGTTGGAGTCACTAGGTCAGCGATTGTCCACTCTGCTACTTACCCACCTTGGGCAGCTCGTGTTTTCAGGACTTTCCTCAGGTCCATTCTGACCCAGGAACAGATCCAATGTCTGTGTTATACAGTATAAGAGAAAACCTGCAAACATGGCCTGCTGGTGTACATGGGGGGCCCTCACTGTCCATTAAAAATAGAGGGAAGGAGTGACAGTAAAGCCGTGTACTCTGGTGTGTGAGGGCCCTTGAAGTATGTGTGCGGGATTGATTTAAAATGTATGTTGCCAAAACTCTAGAAGACAAATTGAATGTATTGCACCGGTCCTTAGATGTGGTGGACGCATTACTTTTCTTTTATCAGGCTTTTATTTCTTTTATTTTTGCCGGCCAGACTTCCTACGGGGACAGCGCTCACCGCACTGTTTCCATGAGGGAGCAGCGTTGGACAGGACTAGGGAAGCCCCCCTCCTTACCTTCTCCTTGTCTTTATAATATGGGGGTAATGGGGTTCTGTAGTCCACAGAGGTGCCAGCAGGGTTTTTGTTTTTGCACTTATTGAAGATCTTTCAATGGGGCATTTAATCGGCCAAAATGTATGAAATAAGAGAAGATCTTTGCTAAGATTTATAGACACATTGGCCGTATGGCCTTGGAGGACTGGGACTGGGGAACAGTGGAGGTCTTTGTTGGTGCCATCAGATCTTACATGCCACCAAATGTTCTTGCCGGATGGAAAAGTCTGATGGGCGAACCGGCGCCGGGGATAAATCTAGTATGAGCGGAGTCAGGAGGGAGTTAATAACCCTCCTTTGCAGATTCTGCTCCGTGTTGACGGTTGCATCTCCCAATTTCTGAAGATTTCTTCGCTCCATCAAATCTGACCTTCTCAAAATTAATTTTGTGAATGTCTTGTTCTGCCACATTCCAATGGTCGTTTTCATATCTGGTGCTTGGCCTGCTGTGTGTTCTGCAGAAAACGGAGAGCCATCAGACCAGGGGTCAGTAGTATGTAGGGCAGTGTACAGAGGTCAGTAGGCTGTAGGGCAGTGTACAGAGGTCAGTAGTATGTATGGCAGTGTACAGGGGTCAGTAGTATGTATGGCAGTGTACAGGGGTCAGTAGTCTGTAGGGCAGTGTACAGAGGTCAGTAGTCTGTAGGGCAGTGTACAGAGGTCAGTAGTATGTATGGCAGTGTACAGGGGTCAGTAGTCTGTAGGGCAGTGTACAGAGGTCAGTAGTCTGTAGGGCAGTGTACAGAGGTCAGTAGTATGTAGGGCAGTGTACAGAGGTCAGTAGTATGCAGGGCAGTGTACAGAGGTCAGTAGTATGCAGGGCAGTGTACAGAGGTCAGTAGTATGTAGGGCAGTGTACAGAGGTCAGTAGTATGTAGGGCAGTGTACAGAGGTCAGTAGGCTGTAGGGCAGTGTACAGAGGTCAGTAGGCTGTAGGGCAGTGTACAGGGGTCAGTAGTATGTAGGGCAGTGTACAGAGGTCAGTAGTATGTAGGGCAGTGTACAGAGGTCAGAAGTATGTAGGGCAGTGTACAGAGGTCAGTAGTATGTAGGGCAGTGTACAGGGGTCAGTAGTATGTAGGGCAGTGTACAGAGGTCAGTAGTATGTAGGGCAGTGTACAGGGGTCAGTAGTATGTAGGGCAGTGTACAGGGGTCAGTAGTATGTAGGGCAGTGTGCAGAGGTCAGAAGTATGTAGGGCAGTGTACAGAGGTCAGTAGTATGTAGGGCAGTGTACAGGGGTCAGTAGTATGTAGGGCAGTGTACAGAGGTCAGTAGTATGTAGGGCAGTGTACAGGGGTCAGTAGTATGTAGGGCAGTGTACAGGGGTCAGTAGTATGTAGAGCAGTGTACAGAGGTCAGTAGTATGTAGGGCAGTGTACAGGGGTCAGTAGTATGTAGGGCAGTGTACAGGGGTCAGTAGTATGTAGAGCAGTGTACAGAGGTCATTAGTATGTAGGGCAGTGTACAGGGGTCAGTAGTATGTAGGGCAGTGTACAGGGGTCAGTAGTATGTAGGGCAGTGTACAGAGGTCAGTAGTGTGTAGGGCAGTGTACAGGGGTCAGTAGTATGTAGAGCAGTGTACAGGGGTCAGTAGTATGTAGGGCAGTGTACAGAGGTCAGTAGTATGTAGGGCAGTGTACAGGGGTCAGTAGTAGTATGCAGGGCAGTGTACAGAGGTCAGTAGTATGTAGGGCAGTGTACAGGGGTCAGTAGTATGTAGGGCAGTGTACAGGGGTCAGTAGTATGCAGGGCAGTGTACAGAGGTCAGTAGTATGTAGGGCAGTGTACAGGGGTCAGTAGTATGTAGAGCAGTGTACAGGGGTCAGTAGTATGTAGGGCAGTGTACAGGCGTCAGTAGTATGTAGGGCAGTGTACAGGGGTCAGTAGTATGCAGGGCAGTGTACAGGGGTCAGTAGTATGTAGGGCAGTGTACAGGGGTCAGTAGTATGCAGGGCAGTGTACAGAGGTCAGTAGTATGCAGGGCAGTGTACAGGGGTCAGTAGTATGCAGGGCAGTGTACAGAGGTCAGTAGTATGCAGGGCAGTGTACAGGGGTCAGTAGTATGCAGGGCAGTGTACAGGGGTCAGTAGTATGTAGGGCAGTGTACAGAGGTCAGTAGTATGTAGGGCAGTGTACAGGGGTCAGTAGTATGCAGGGCAGTGTACAGGGGTCAGTAGGGCATAGTACAAGGGCGTTAGGAGAGCACAGTACAGGAAGGGGTTAGGAGGGTACAGTACAGAGGGGGATCAGGTGGCACAGTATGGGGGGGGGTTCAGGAGGGCACAGTACAGAGGGTGATCAGGTGGCACAGTATGGGGGGGTTCAGGAGGGCACAGTACAGAAGGGGATCAGGTGGCACAGTATGGGGGTGTTCAGGAGGGCACAGTACAGAGGGGGATCAGGTGGCACAGTATAGGGGGGGGTTCAGGAGGGTACAGTACAGAGGGGGATCAGGTGGCATAGTATGGGGGGGGTTCAGGAGGGCACAGTACAGAGGGGGATCAGGTGGTACAGTATGGGGGGTTCAGGAGGGCATAGTACAGAAAAGGATCAGGTGGCACAGTATGGGGGGGTTCAGGAGGGCACAGTATGGGGGGTTCAGGAGGGCACAGTATGGGGGGTTCAGGAGGGCACAGTATTGCGGGAAGTAGTCTATGGTACAGAGCGGTGTCCTCATGTAGAGCTGTGCAGGGAAGCTGCTGTGACACATCTACCTGTTTTGCAGTGCTGATCTACGCCTGAGATGAAGGGGAGAGGGGAGGGATGAAGATCCCCGGTGGGGATCAGCGCAGTACACTCAGGGTAGCTCAAGCTATCCCTCCTGAATGCTGTAGGAGCCAACCGCAAATCATAGGCAGCCCTTGTGTTCCTTGTCCTGAAGCCACACATATGTAGGGGGCGTGCTGAGCTAATAGTACCTCTGCTGCCTATGACTGGCTGTTGGCTTTGACAGACTTCCAGCTGAATATCTCAGGTGGCTTCGGCCTCATGTCTAAATATATCCGAACTCATGAGGTATCTCGCTTCCCTGCGCTGCTCTGCAAAAGGCAGAGGTATACTGAGGGCCCACCAATGCAGGGACATGAATGTGATCTCCTCTTTATCTGTCCATGATTGATGTGTTGCCGACCCCCTGATATAGAGGAATCAGGACCCCCCTTCTTTCTGCTGGGATCCCTCTAGTGATAAAAAATCTGAAGGAATCAGGACCTCCTTCCTCCTGCCGGTGACCCCTCTAGTGATATAAAGATCTATATAGAGGAATCGAGACCTCCTTCCTCCTGCCGGTGACCCCTCTAGTGATATAAAGATCTATATAGAGGAATCAGGACCTCCTTCCTCCTGCCGGTGACCCCTCTAGGGATATAAAGATCTATGTAGAGGAATCAGGACCTCCTTCGTCCTGCCGGTGACCCCTCTAGTGATATAAAGATCTATATAGAGGAATCAGGACCTCCTTCCTCCTGCCGGTGACCCCTCTAGTGATATAAAGATATATGTAGAGGAATTGGGACCTCCTTCCTCCTGCCGGTGACCCCTCTAGTGATAGGATCTACATAGAGGAATCGGGACCTCATTCCTCCTGCCGGTGACCCCTCTAGTGATAGGATCTACATAGAGGAATCGGGACCTCCTTCCTCCTGCCGGTGACCCCTCTAGTGATATAAAGATATAGAGGAATCGGGACCTCCTTCCTCCTGCCGGTGACCCCTCTAGTGATATAAAGATCTATATAGAGGAATCAGGACCTCCTTCCTCCTGCCGGTGACCCCTCTAGTGATATAAAGATCTATATAGAGGAATCGGGACATCCTTCCTCCTGCCGGTGACCCCTCTAGTGATATAAAGATATATGTAGAGGAATTGGGACCTCCTTCCTCCTGCTGGTGACCCCTCTAGTAATATAAAGATCTATATAGAGGGATGAGGACCTCCTTCCTCCTGCAGGTGACCCCTCTAGTGATTTAAAGATCTATATAGAGAACTGGGTAAAAACAGTTCAGAAAAGCCTTAGTCTGGTAGACAATATGGCGATGGCTCTCCTTGTCTGAGATTAGGGGCAGGAAGCAACCTTGGATAAAGAGAAGTAGCTGTCAGCACACTTGGCCAATCCTGATGAAAGCAGTTTCCTTTATCAATTTCTCTGAAGTAACAGCAGATAAGAATCCCAATAGTTGTGCACAAAGCAATGAGGACCACATTCAGCGTGGTTTATTATTACTACCCTTTGGCTGTGCTCCTGCAGACATGGATGTTGTTGCTGTGGAGGACAGTCATTTTTTACTGTTCATTAGGGGATCAACCTTGACCCACCAACAGAACTACTGCAAGCTGATTGAATGGTCAGCATGTAGGCAGGTGCAGTCCATTTTCTCCACTGTAGGTGGCCATTCCACGCAAGAAATTCTGCAGCCTGGAGCTGCAGTTTTGCATTTGGCCAGGGTCAGTGTAATTACTGGTAGCATGAGGCCATACCTGGACCCTACGGAGGTTCACAGGCAGTCCAACTCTTCCAGGACGGCACATCAATACCTGCCATTGCCAGAAGGTTTGCTGTGTCTCCCAGCACAGTCTCAAGAGCATGGAGGAGGTTCCAGGAGACAAGAGCATGGAGGAGATTCCAGGAGACAAGAGCATGGAGGAGATTCCAGGAGACAGGCAGTTCCTCTAGGAGAGCTGGACAGAGCCGTAGAAGGTCCTTAACCCATCAGCAGGACCGGTATCTGCTCCTTTGTGCAAGGAGGAACAGGATGAGCCCTGCCAGAACCCTACAAAATGACCTCCAGCAGGCCACCGGTGTGAATGTCTTTGACCAAACAATCAGAAACCGACTTCATGAGGGCAGCCTGAGGGCCCGACATCCTCTAGTGGGCTCTGTGCTCACTGCCCAGCACCATAGAGCTGGATTGGCGTTTGCCATTGAACACCAGAATTGGCAGGTCCACCACTGGCACCCCGTGCTTTTCACAGATGAGAGCAGGTTCACCCTGAGCACATGTGACAGACGTGAAAGGGTCTGGAGAAGCCGTGGAGAAAGTTCTGCTGCCTGTAACATGGTTCAGTATGACCGTTGTGGTGGTGGGTCAGTGATGGCCTGGGGGAGGCATCTCCATGGAGGGACACACAGACCTCTACAGGCTAGACAATGGCACCCTGACTGCCATTAGGTATGGGGATGAAATTCTTGTACCTATTGTCAGACCCTACACTGGTGCAGTGGGTCCTGAGTTCCTCATGGTGCAGTGGGTCCTGGGTTCCTCCTGGTGTAGTGGGTCCTGTGCTCCTCCCGGTGCAGTGGGTCCTGGGTTCCTCCTGGTACAGTGGGTTCTGGGTTCCTCCTGGTGCAGTGGGTCCTGGGTTCCTCCTGGTGCAGACAATGCCCGGCCTCATGTGGGGAAAGTATGCAAGCAGTTCCTGGAGGATGAAGGAATTGATACCACTGAATGGCCCCCACGCTCGCCTGACCTAAATCCAATAGAACCCCTCTGAGATGTCATGTTTCAGTTCATCCGACGACGCCAGGTTGCACCTCTGGTTGACTATCCAAGAGCTCAGGGATGCCCTGGTCCAGATCTGGGAGGAAATCCCCCAGGACACCATCCGTGGTCTCATTAGGAGCCTCCCCCGACGTTGTCAGGCACGCATACAAGCACGTGGGGGCCACACAAACTACTGAGGACCATTCTGAGTGGCTGCAATGACATTTCAGCACAATGGACTCGCCTGCTGCATGATTTCTTCTTCTTTGATTTTCGGGGTGTCTTTGATTTCAGTCCTCTGTAGGTCGATCATTGTCATTTCCATCAAACGATGGGGCATCCTTACGTTCCTCACCCATCCCCCGTCCATGTCAGTATAGAGATCCAGCAGGAGATTCCTCCCCATTGAGATCTGATGGGTTTTCAAAGTCTTCCTGTCATTTTTTTGAGCCGTGTATGTATGCAATTAACCACTTGCCGTCCGGCCGCTGTTTATAAACGGCAGGACGGTGGCACTCCAGGGGCGGGTTGCCGTTCATAAATGGCACCTGCATTTTCAAGCTGTGCACGCTCCCTGGGACACAGTGGAACACTGATCATCGTACGGGAACTCTCTGCGAGGTCCCGATCATGTGATCACTGATTGGCCAATCAGTGATCACATGCAGAGTAGTAAGCAAGATCTCACTTCTGACATCATTGCTTACTATGTGTGAAATCTGTGAATGATCACAGAGGTCACATGGTACAGGGCTATTCACAACAGCCTTGTACCATGTGACAAGCTGTGACCAATCACAGCTCAAACAGCATTTCTCAATGGCTGCAAGAATGCAGCCAGAGAGGAGGAGAAATGATTGCTTTTGCATCCTTTATGGGTGTTGGAGCAATCAATGAAAAGAAAAAAAAAAATCTTCATCACCCCCCACAAGTAGTACAGTGTCACCATGGTGACCCTGTTCTGCTAGGGTGACAGTATGTAAAAAAAACCCCATAAATAATAATATAAAAAAATTAAATAAAAATGTAAATTTTTTTTTTAAATTATCATTTTTGGTTATAAACTAATTTGGGTTTATTTTTTTTTTAATAAAAAGATAACTGAATAAATTTTGGCCAAGATTCATGAAGAAAGATTATTTATTTGCAAAATTTTATAAGAAAAACACTTTTTTTCAAATTTTTTGTACTTTTTCATTTATATAGCAAAAAAAAAAAAAAATCCCAGCGGTGAATAAATAGCACCAAAATAAAGTTTTATCTGTCTCAAAAAAAATGCTCAAAAATTCATACGGGTACAGTGTTGCATGACCGCGCAATTGTCATTCAAAGTGTCCGGACTGGAAGGGGGGTGAAAGTGTCCGGACTGGCAGGGGGGGTGAAAGTGTCCGGACTGGAAGGGGCGAAAGTGTCCGGACTGGAAGGGGGCGAAAGTATCCGGACTGGAAGGGGGCGAAAGTGTCCGGACTGGAAGGGGGTGAAAGCGTCCAGACTGGAAGGGGGGGAAAGTGTCCGGACTGGAAGGGGGGGGAAAGCGTCCGGACTGGAAGGGGGGGAAAGCGTCCGGACTGGAAGGGGGGGAAAGCGTCCGGACTGGAAGGGGGCGAAAGTGTCCGGACTGGAAGGGGGTGAAAGTGTCCGGACTGGAAGGGGCGAAAGTGTCCGGACTGGAAGGGGGCGAAAGTGTCCGGACTGGAAGGGGGCGAAAGTGTCCGGACTGGAAGGGGGCGAAAGTGTCCGGACTGGAAGGGGGCGAAAGTGTCCGGACTGGAAGGGGGCGAAAGTGTCCGGACTGGAAGGGGGGGAAAGCGTCCGGACTGGAAGGGGGGGGAAAGCGTCCGGACTGGAAGGGGGGGGGAAAGTGTCCGGACTGGAAGGGGAGGAAAGTGTCCGGACTGAAAGGGGGTGAAAGTGTCCGGACTGGAAGGGGGTGAAAGTGTCCGGACTGGAAGGGGGGGAAGTGTCCAGACTGGAAGGGGGGGAAAGTGTCCAGACTGGAAGGGGGGAAAGTGTCCGGACTGGAAGGGAGGGAAGTGTCCGGACTGGAAGGGGGTGAAAGTGTCCGGACTGGAAGGGGGGGAAAGTGTCCAGAATGGAAGGGGGGAAAGTGTCCGGACTGGAAGGGGGGGAAAGTGTCCAGAATGGAAAGGGGGGAAAGTGTCCGGACTGGAAGGGGGGGAAAGTGTCCGGACTGGAAGGGGGGAAAGTGTCCAGAATGGAAGGGGGGAAAGTGTCCGGACTGAAAGGGGGGGAAAGTGTCCGGACTGGAAGGGGGGAAAGTGTCCAGAATGGAAGGGGGGAAAGTGTCCGGACTGGAAGGGGGGGAAAGTGTCCGGACTGGAAGGGGGGAAAGTGTCCAGAATGGAAGGGGGGGAAAGTGTCCGGACTGGAAGGGGGGAAAGTGTCCAGAATGGAAGTGGTTAAAATAGTATAACTGCTTTATATTATCCTATAAGTAAGTCATACAATTATTGGTATATGTTTTCCTTGTTCTGGAGGTTTTTCTGGCCACCACCAGCTGCCTCCTCAATCCATACACCACCGGCAGCCCCAGTATCGGGTAGCACCCACCATGCGCCAACCATGGCACTTTCGGCTGGACTCTCCGGTGGACACCCTGGAAGTGACTTTTCGGTTCATCCAGTCCATTTTAGCCATTTGCCCCCCCTCCAGTTAAAGCAGAGGCCCCAGGATACAGCATCTTCACCACTGCCTTAAGTCTAGTGTCTGCCTGCAGAAAGAGGGTCTGGAGTGGCAAATAACTTGAGAGCGCGGGAGAAGCAAGATGACGGGCACCTGGAAAGCTGAATCGCTGCGAAGGTGTAGCAAGATGGCAGGGTTACTGTAAAAAGCATATTGAGTGAGGGTGTACTTAGATGGAGCAGAGAGGCCTGAGAGTGGACTTTACTGGAGCAGATGCTACTGTAGAGGAATACAAAGATGGCAGACACCAATCATGAGACAGTATTATCACATTCCACCAGGGGTGGACTGACAACTCATGGGGCCTCCGGGCAATAGGGGATCATGGGGCCCCCTGTGTCCTTGCCAAAACTCAAAAAAGCCTATGAAAAAGGTACCAGGGGCATCTCATGGGGCCCCCTACTGACCCCGGGACCTCGGGCAGTGCCCAAGTTTCCAAATGGTCAGTTCGCCCCTGCATTCCACTACAGGTAGTAGTATCCCTTTTAGTATCAGAGCATTTGCATAAGTACTCCCGCAAATGCTTAGTATTGGCTCCGATACCGACCCCAGTACAACACTAGTGCCAACTTGTAGTCTCCATCCCGCTTCTTCTTGGATAGGACAGCCACCCACCTGTTGTTGAGTTAAACTTTCCTCCATATTGTGTCACACTTCCATGTAGGGTGGCCACCTCATCCCTTTAAAATCGAACACATATTAATGACACGGGTTCTGTGGCTGACTAAGGTGGTAACTAAACTCACTTGTACCTTATCTGCATTAAATTATCCTCAGAACCTGTGCAATAAATATGTTTGGCTTTAAAAGGGATGAGGTGGAACCCGTATTCCCGGGCCCACTCATGACATCCCTGGGAAGAAGTCTTAACATTGAAGAAAAACATGAATGTAACAAAAAAGCATTTCCAGCACTTTACTGCAACTGTACATCTTCGCACAAAGTCCCGTGGCGTATGACACATGAAATACTAGCAGAATCTTCAGCTATAGAGCCTGGCCACCTGCATTTGGGGTAAGCGTGACACTCCATCTAATACTTCAGTAGAGTATGGAATTCTCTATAAAGGGCGCTAACACCTGGTTATACCTATCCCCTTACCACGTATCCTGTACACCCCGTACCGCATTGGCAACAAGGCCATCTAGTGGCAGGCAGTCTAATAGCACCTGCCAACATACCTGTAGCTGCTGGTGGGTTTACCACGGTTGGGGCTGTGTATGTCCCCATTTTACATCCTCGTGGTCCCTCTTGGAGCTTCAGTTGTCATGGTAGATCAGCTGAGAACCAGTAATGTGTGTTATGGGTACATCATAGAAATCAGACCCTGATCTTTCCTAGCCTCTTGGTTGATCTCTTCAGAGTTGCATCGTACCAGCATTGGGCTCCATTCCAGCCATTTCCCAGTTGGCCTTATGTAGACTGGAGAGATTTTACATGATTTCTGCTTAGCTGTCAGATAGTTTTGATGGGAATCATTTCAGTGACAGTTCTGTTAAATGTTGCTTTATTCAGCAAAAGCATAATCTGCCATAACTGCCATTGCGATGTCACTCAACTGTCTTCATTTTTGTGTTTTTATTGCAGAGTGTTTCGGTGACGATCAAGCTGTCAGACCAACATTGTCTTCTACGCAGATTACAACAACTCCGCAGTGTGTCAATTGTCCAAAAAAGACTACTACTACACTACACGCCACACGACCACACATTCCACACTACATACAAACCACACCACAGTTGCCCCAACAACGGCTCATACCAATCATACAACTGAACCCCCTACAACGGCCCATACCAATCATACAACTCAACCACCCACAACGGCCCATACCAATCATACAACTCAACCACCCACAACGGCCCATACCAATCATACAACTCAACCACCCACAACGGCCCATACCAATCATACAACTCAACCACCCACAACGGCCCATACCAATCATACAACTCAACCACCCACAACGGCCCATACCAATCATACAACTGCTCCACACACAACGGCCCATACCAATCATACAACTGCTCCACACACATCGGCACACACCAATCACACAACTCAAGCATCCACAACTGCACCGAGCAACCACACTTCTACACCACACACTAACCACACAACTCCTCATACCACACCCTCCCCACTACCCCCTCCCACAGAGTACTTTGTGAATGGTACGTCGGGAGTTTGTCTAAGGATAAAGGCGGTCTTCATATTGACGTTCAGCAACACCACCTTCCCAAATGTAAGTTACTGCTCATAGGTGAGTCATTTAGCAGAAGTCCTGGGCACCATCTAGAAGATGATCTCGTAGAATGCAATATTTGGGGAACAGTATTGGCCAGAAGTAAGGAAAATATTTGGGGGTGCTTATGTCAGATGATTGCAAAATGAGCAAACAATATTGCCAGGCATCGGGGAAAGCAAATTGAACTGTGGGGTACAAAACTAGAGAGATCAGCAGCAGGAGGAAGGAGGTCCCGATTCCTCTATATAGATCTTTATATCACTACAGGGGTCACCAGGAGGAAGGAGGTCCCGATTCCTCTATATAGAGCCATATATCACTAGAGGGGTCACCGGCAGGAGGAAGGAGATCCCGATTCCTCTATACCGGCAGGAGGAAGGAGGTCCCGATTCCTCTATATAGATCTTTATATCACTAGAGGGGTCACCGGCAGGAGGAAGGAGGTCCTGATTCCTCTATATAGATCTTTATATCACTAGAGGGGTCACCGGCAGGAGGAAGGAGGTCCCGATTCCTTAATATAGATCTTTATGTCACTAGATGGGTCACCGGCAGGAGGAAGGAGGTCCTGATTCCTCTATATAGATCTTTACATCACTAGAGGGGTCACCGGCAGGAGGAAGGAGGTCCCGATTCCTCTATATAGATCTTTATATCACTAGAGGGGTCACCGGCAGGAGGAAGGAGGTCCCGGTCCCTCTATATAGATCTTTATATCACTAGAGGGGTCACCGGCAGGAGGAAGGAGGTCCCAATTCCTCTATATAGATCTTTATCTCACTAGAGGGGTCACCGGCAGGAGGAAGGAGGTCCCGATCCCTCTATATAGATCTTTATCTCACTAGAGGGGTCACCGGCAGGAGGAAGGAGGTCCCGATCCCTCTATATAGATCTTTATCTCACTAGAGGGGTCTGAAGGTTGAAACTTATCAGAAGAGATGAAGGAGCCTAAAGTATCTAAGCTCAAAAATTAAAAATGTATTATACTGCAGCTTACTATTCAGTGCAGTTGCTGAATTGATTTCCTTGTTTTAGTCCATGGGTGAGTACATTTACTCCTCTACTGTATCTCTGAAGGAAGTCTTGATTTTTACCAGCACAGGCTGGATTTCAAACATGGTCGCCATTGTTCATCTCCATGCCACCAAATGTTAAGACTGGCAAGCTGCAATACATAAACATCTTGTTTCGGGGTTTATGAACACTTTAATATATACAACTTACAATGAAGAGATGGAAACAAAAAGGAGGGGAACGTCACTGAATCCTTTAATACATGAAAGGTGGGAATAAGGTTCAGGAGGGCAGGATTTCTAGTATGAAGATAGGACCAAGAACACGGGGACATGACCTCAAACTAGCATGAGAAATGTTCAAAACTAATCTTTGAAAGTATTATTTTACTGTAGTGGATGCTTGGAATAGACGTCCAGCAGAGGTAGTGGGTCAGACAACAGTAGGTGAATATAAAGTGTATCTGAACCCTAAAATCTTCCTTCAGTGAAGTGTCCTCCGGTAATAATCTGTATTTGGGACATACTCCAACATGGCATCTTTTTAAGTCCATTGCCATCTCTTGTAGTGCTCTCCTAGAACAGGTTGCTGGAGAGGTTCAGGTACATTCAGTTCATTAGCTGCTCTGTAATCATTGGAGTGGTGTGTGATTGTTTTTGGCTGTTCTGGGTCTCATCATTGGCTGCAGGCTTGATTGTTTTCCCCTGCCTTCTAGTGGATTCTAAAATGTAGTGGGTTGGAAGAGGTAGACCCTGGGCCTGAATATTCATGTGGTCTCAGCTAATCCCTGGGGGAGAAGATACCCAGTAGGTGGCTGAGGAGCATAAATAGTCTGGGGCCTGGAGTAGCAGGGTGTTTGTCCAGGAAGAGGAGACCCAGCCTGAAGGGCTGATGCCTGTCTGGGTGGTGTAGCCAGAGTCTACAGGAGTTCATCAAGGTTGAAGATCAGGTAGAGCTGGGGGGGGGGGGGGGGGGGCTGTTCTCTGGATGTAGCTGGAGCCAAACCAAGAGGATTCACTGAGTTGCTGTACACACCACTACATGCTTTGTTAATATCATCTGATATAAATGAGCCTCAGAATGTTTCTCTCAACATGATTTCTTCAGTAATAGGTCCTCTATCATGGCAGTAGAAGGGGCACTGCAGCTGACCGTCAATCATAGTGTGGCCTTCTCCCGGATTCCATGTTTGTCCAGTGACTATTAATGGTCCATATTTGTAACAATTGTGAGAATTTTTAGGGTCTGGTCAAGCTGACAGAGCTAGTTGGGGAACACTTCTCCAGACAAGGGGACGTGGGCTTGCTGTTGGCTTTCTGGTGAAAGCAGTAAAAAAAAAGAGAATTCACTGAGAATCTGGCCTGGAAATTTACAGGAGAAGTGTCTGATCGATATTGGATGGAGGCATCCAAGAACATGGGGACAATGAGAGTATAGGCCTGAGCGCGGGATCCTAGTGACTCTGACCCTTGCTGCAGTGCTGTCGAATTGGGGACCTGTCCCTTGCTTGGAGTCCCAGAGTTGCTTTTTCTCCATTTGTCTGTCAAGAAGGGAATTATTCTGAAGAGTGTAGTCAAGGCAAAGAGTGTCCTCTGATTTCTTTGTGCAATAAATTTTGGAGTATCCCCAAAGCCCACCCTGCAGCCTAACCAAGTTCAACGAGCATTAAATCATAAAAAGACATTCCTGGCCTGGTCATTGAGTTGTGAGACTGTCCGAGTTATAGTGTGCCTGGCTGCCTGTACAGCAAATAGGGAAGAGTACCTGGGGCTAATCAGCAGGGCCTGTCGGGGGTCTGTGCCACACTCTGTAATGTGACTAAGAGCTGTAAAAGTCAGAAAATAGCTGGTGATCCCACCAGTTCCCCTCTGAAGGAACCCCTTCCTGTTTCTAACTGACCATGCTTGGCAGAGGAGCAGGTCCACCCTATTATGATCAGTTTGTGTCCTTTCCTCTTATTTCGGAGCTACAAGATGCCATTGCGATGCACAGTATTTCTATAGTCCTGAATTCAGATTACTACTGGAGGATACTTCACTGGTCTCCATGGAGTGAAAGATTTCCTGAGACTTTTGACATCGGTGGAAGCTGAAGCTCTCTTATTGAGTCTCCAACCACCACCCATGGAGCTGGGAGAGGAAAAGGGGCATGAGCAGTCACATGACCACCAATCGAAGGCAAGAAAAAAAAGATTTATAGGACGACTTGATCTTTTTCTGCTATCACGTTTCTATGAGAGTCAATGTCAATGAATAAAATATAATCCTGGAAAAAGCAAATGATGATTAATTTAGCTTGTCCTGTCAAGACCCGTGATTACCAGATCATTGAGTATATGACATCCTATGGTCACATCCTAGGCTGTCAACAAAGGGCAGCACCAGGGGCGGACTGACAACTCATGGGGCCCCTGGCAATAGGGGATCATGGGGCATCGCCCACACTCAAACCACACTCAAAAAAGTCTATGAAAGGTACCAGGGGCATCTCATGGGGCCCCCTACTGACCCCGGGCCCTCAGGCAGTGCCGAGTTCCCAAATGGTCAGTCCGCCCCTGGGCAGCACCATATATTTGAAAACAACCTGCTATTATAATTGGTTGAAAAATAATGTTTCCCAAGTTCATATCATCTTGTAGTTATGATGGTCATAGTTATCACAGTCATAGCTATTGGAAGGGTCCTACCAAATACTGAAACATTCCATAATTGAACATCACAAATTTGCTGAATGTATGTGTCAGTCTTGGGTTTTAGGTGGTACAAGTCAATTAGTTTAACTTGCACTCTTCCTTGTGTTTCTTTCTGTTCTTCAGTACACCGTCCCAGCACCTCCGACCACAAAGGCCAAAGGAAGTTGCAGTCCTGACACAGCAGAGCTGATGTTGACCTTTCCAGATGGAAGTCTTAGCGTGACATTCAAAAAGGTATGGAGGAAGCCAATTGAATGGTGGACCTTTTAAATGCTTTTAATCCTTGGAGTATGGCAATAAAGATACATACAGTTGTGTTCAAATAATAGCAGTGTGTTGAAAAAAGTGACTGAAGCTGAAAATCCTTCTAATAGCTTTTATTTCCATCCACACAAATGCATTGGGAACACGACACATTCTATTCCAAATCACAACATGAAGAAAAAATACACCAAATTTGTGTTGTTCCTCTAAAAAAATTGAAGAAAAGTGAATATTAGACGGTTCAAAAAAATCGCAGTGTTTGTATTCTTCTTTACAAACTCAAACATTCACTATATAAACTGAGAAATGTTTGAAGATTTTGCTTTCCTTTGAATGACTTCATGAATATTTGGTTGTAGTCGCACTGTTTCTGAGAACTGCTGTACATCTGTGTTGCATGGAGTCACCCAACTTCTGGCCCCTGTGATCAGGTATTCCAGCCCAGGATGATTGGACCACATTCCACAGTTCTTCTCTATTTCTTGGTTTTGCCTCAGAAACGGCATTTTTGATGTCACCCCACAAGTTTTCTATTGGATGAAGATCCGGGGATTGGGCTGGCCACTCCATAACGTCCATCTTGTTGGTCTGGAACCAAGATGTTGCCCGTTTACTGGTGTGTTTGGGGTCGTTGTCTTGTTGGAACACCCATTTCAAGGGCATTTCCTCTTCAGCATAAGGCATTATGACCTCTTCAAGTATTCTGATGTATTCAAACTGATCCATGATCCCTGGTATGCGATAAATAGGCCCAACACCGTAGTATGAGAAACATCCCCATATCATGATGCTTGCACCACCATGCTTCACAGTCTTCACAGTGTACTGTGGCTTGAATTCAGTGTTTGGGGGTCGTCTGACAAACTGTCTCCGCCCACTAGACCCAAAAAGAACAATCTTACTTCCATCAGTCCACAAAATGTTGCACCATTTCTCTTTAGGCCGGTCAATGTGCTCTTTGGCAGATTGTAACCTCTTCAGCACACGTCTTTTTCCCAACAGTGGGACTTTGCGGGGACTTCTTGCAGATAGCTTGGCTTCACATCGGCGTCTTCTAATTGTAACAGTCCTCACAGGGAACGTCACACCTTCTTTCATCTTCCTGGAGCTGATTGTTGGCTGAGTCTGCGCCATTTTGGCTATTCTTCTATCCATTCCAATGGTAGTTTTTCGCTTTCTTCCACGTCTTTCAGGTTTTGGTTGCCATTTTAAAGCATTTGCCATCATTTTAGCTGAGCAGCCGATCATTTTCTGCACTTCTTTATATGTTTTCCCCTCTCCAATCAACTTTTTAATCAAGGTACGCTGTTCTTCTGAACAATGTCTGGAACGACCCATTTTCCTCAGAATTTCAGAGAGAAATGCACTGTAACCAGCATGTCCAACATTTGCTGCCTTCCTTCCTTAAATAAGGGCAGTAATTGCCACCTGTTTATCAAAGAATGAATGACCTCACTAATAGAACTCCACACTGCTATTATTTTGAACACGCCCCTCAATGAGTGATTCAATGACACAGAATCAGCAGCATGCATGTCATGACTGTCGGGTCTGTTGGATTTCTATGACTCTACTACACCTGCTAGGAAATTATTTGCCATGTAGAAATATCATTTCCACCAAAAACAGTGATTGATCCGGTTAGTGATGTCTGACGGCTATTATTTTGAACACAACTGTAAATACGAGAGGACTCATGGAACTGAATCTATAGGGTGGTGAGGTGTAACAGATATATGGACCGTGGAGGTAATTAGGCTATCCAGCAGGTACAGAGGTAGCTATCAGGGGAAGCCTTTTCTACTAAGAGAGGGGGGCTATCAGAATGGATAAGGAGGACAGTTTGGTATTTTGTATCCTGCAGTATAAATTGTATTCATGTAATATTTTCAATCTTTTTTGAAGGACCAGAAGAAAAGTTCATTTTATTTGGCAGCCGCCAACGTTACTGCACATAAAGGTAATACACCAAACACAACTTCAAACTTCTAGGATATGATAGAAACAAAGCCAAATCTTGGTAGCAATGTACGCAAATGCATTCGTTTTAAAGGTCTCGCCTTCCAAAACTGATGTTTCAATGACTAGGAGATGCTGGAAAGTTGGCCTCCTTTGACGGTTTTTTCTATTTTTTGGGGACTTTCTTGGTGAGATCTCTGTGCTGAGTTCCTGGCTCTCCTATGAGGAGCTCCCACCATCCTTGCTCAGTTATTATTTTTTACATTATTCACCTACAATATAACAAGAGAAGCTGGAACATTCAACGTAGCACAGGAAACACCCAAGACTCCCAGGAGGACAAAGAGAGTTGAGAAATATGGAAGGGAAATATTACCACTAGAGTGTTCATATACGAAGCCAGACGCTGACTCTGCCCACCAGGCTCCATCTGTATCACATTTGGGTGAACCGACCATTTGGGCTCAGCACTGTATATTTCTTGCACTAGTTATGTCCAATATTGTATATTCCTTTAACGCCGTAGTCATTTTCACAATTGTTGACTTGTCTACTTAACTAGTTTATCCCACTAATTCCTGCGCAAGCACAATTTGTACCCATGTGCAGCACTGGTTCCTTGCTTATTGACCTTAGTCCCTGTTTACCATTGTATCCTCGTGCCCTAGCCTAGTCCTGCTCTGCACTGTATAGTTGTGGCCCCCTATTGTCTTAGACCAGGGGTGTCAAACTGGTGGCCCTCCAGCTGTTGCAAAACTACAAGTCCCATCATGCCTCTACTTTTGGGAGTCACGCTTGTAACTGTCAGTCTTGCAATGCCTCATGGGACTTGTAGTTTGGCGACAGCTGGAGGGCCACCAGTTTGACACCTGTGTCTTAAGACTATTTTTGTGACCTGGCCACAGTCAGTACTCAGTCTGGACACAGCAACCCTCATACAGGTTGAATCTTTGCCCAGAATTATTATATTCAGTCTTAGTCCTCGTCTATTTCCAGTTGCACTAGTCCTGACCATAAATGGTTTGGTTCCTGGTGCAGTGGCCCTAGCTGAGCTCAGCTTTCTTTCCATGCATTAATCTACAGTAGGCTGGGTTAGGACTTGTTTCTCTGTTGGCTCTTTTGGTCAATATTATTATACAGGATTTATATTTGAAGGGAGTTAATTAAATTAAAATCAAGACACGAGTGTCGAGAGGGCCCTGATTGTGGAAGCTTACAATCTAAAAGGGATGGACAAGAAGGGATACAAGAAAGTTCTAACCTTGTGGAGTTAAGTTGGTGGAGAAGGTAAAACTTCATTTTGGTGGAGACGAGATCGGCTTCTCTGAGTTTTCAGGCATTGCCAAATAGCGGCGAGTAGAAGATAGCAGGACAGATTGGGTTAGGGGGTTCCACAGGAGGAAAAAGGAAGAAGTCCTGGAGATCAGCAAGGGAGGAGCTAGGGAGCAGGAGGTTCTGGGAGGGGCGAAGAAGGTGATTTGGTTGATATTTTGAGATGAGGTTGGTGCCGTAGCTCAGGGCAGAGTTGTGAATGGCTTTCTATGTTGTATTTTGAAGTTTACTTGTTGGGTGATTGGACGCCAGTGGAAGGATTGGCAGAGCGGCTGACAAGGTGGGTGAGCCTGCTGTTGCAAAACTACAAGTCCCATCATCCCTCTACCTTTGGGAGTCATGCTTGTAACTGTCAGTCTTGCAATGCCTCATGGGACTTGTAGTTTGGCAACAGCTGGAGGGCCACCAGTTTGACACCTGTGTCTTAAGACTATTTTTGTGACCTGGCCACAGTCAGTACTCAGTCTGGACACAGCAACCCTCATACAGATTGGGTTAGGGGGTTCCAGAGGAGGAAAAAGGAAGAAGTCCTGGAGATCAGCAAGGGAGGAACTAGGGAGCAGGAGGTTCTGGGAGGAGAGAAGAAGGTGATTTGGTTGATATTTTGAGATGAGGTTGGTGCCGTAGCTCAGGGCAGAGTTGTGAATGGCTTTCTATGTTGTATTTTGAAGTTTACTTGTTGGGTGATCGGACGCCAGTGGAAGGATTGGCAGACCGGCTGACAAGGTGGGTGAGCCTAGCACCAGCATTCAGGATAGACTGAAGGGGGCATAGCCTGTGTAGACGTACTCCAACGAGGAGGGAGTTGCAAAAGACAAAAAGGGTCTGAGTTAGTTGCTTTGTGGTATCATTGGTAAAGAAGGGGCATTTTTTTGGGAAATGTTATGGAGGTCAAGGTGGCAAGATTTGATCAATGATTGGCTGAGGGATCGAAAGGAGAGGTCAGAGTCTAGGATTTCATCTAGCATCCTGGCATTACGGGAGGGGCTGATAGTTGTGGTATTGATCTTGATGGAAAAGTCTAGATGGTTGTGATACCTGTGATGGCTCCTATACTTTCTTTATATCAGTCTAGACAGGTATATAGTAGTACTGTTCACTTTGCATACTAGCTTTAGCCATGTCCAACCTTGGTTCCTTGGATACCAGCCCCCACCATTTGTCTTCGTACCCTCTGCAGGCATACTTAGACATACACTCTCTTTTTGCTTTACAGAGGCGGTCTCCGTATTTTCTGCATCTCTAAATGAGATGGTTACCCCACTTGGGCATGCTTATACCTGTAAAGATGTGAACGTGAACATTTCTTCTACGCTGAAACTTTTGCTCATGGATGTCAAGGCTCAGGCCATTGAACTAAAAGATGCCAACTTTGGACAAGGTAAGTCATGGCTGGAAGGTATTATTGATACTTATCCGTTGTCTGCATTTTACTGAGTAGGAAATTGTAGTGTACGGCCAACTTTAAAGCGGATCTTCACCCATAAATCGAAAGTACCTTCTGTCCACCCCTTCTCCGGTCTGCTGCCTGTATAGTGTAAAAGGGTTTGGTCCTGTCTTGGCAAATGATGTGTGCCGTACCCGCCGGGCCTTCTGGGATGTTTATGTCAGATATCTCAGGAGGCCTTACTGTTTCAATAAAAGAAGAGGAGAGGGAGGGCCTAGTACTGCATCATAGGGTGGCTCGCCTGGTAAACCCCGAGGAGCCGATGGGCCTCCCGTTGACTTCAGAAACAACATGGGGGGAGTGGGACCAAGAGATGGCAGGACCGAGAGATGGCAGGACATGAAGAAATCTCAACGGGACAACACTGGATCCCCTGGATGGGTGAGTATCTGAAATATGCAGATTCCACCTCCTGGTAAGCGAGGGTAAAAGAAAAAAAAAAAGGGGGGGTTGTGGCTTGGGTGTGGAGATCCACTTTAAGGTAAAATAGTGGCAGTGGAAATGTTTATTTGCTCCCGCCTCTTTCAAGAGCAGGGGTTACTGTGACCTGACCCATCCTCTCTGTCCAAATTCTGTACCTCACTGTCCTTGAAGGGTGACCCTCCTTAAAGAGACCCTGTCACCAGCATAGAAAATGCTGGTAAAAACATAGGAAAATCAAGCATATTGCATGCATACTTGGAACATTTTCCTTTCCATACAAGATTTTTTCATTTACTTGCAATGTGCTTTTGACCCTGCATAAAATTTGATTACTCCAGGAAGAGTCAATTCCCTAGCACATCCCCCTCCCTCCTCTCAGGTCATAGCCCTCTCCACCTTTGTAAGTGTCTATTACCTGTCTGTGCTAGCCCAGCTCCTCTGCCCCTCCCCTCAACCCCTTACATAACCTTTTATATAGCTGCTGGGGGAGGAGCAAAGAGGAACCAGAGGAATCAGGACCTCCTTCCTCCTGCTGGTGATCCCTCTAGTGATATATAGATCTATATAGAGGAATCGGGGCCTCCTTCCTCCTGCCGGCGACCCCTCTAGTGATAGGATCTATATAGAGGAATCAGGACCTCCTTCCTCCTGCCGGCGACCCCTCTAGGATCTATATAGAGGAATCAGGACCTCCTTCCTCCTGCCGGTGACCCCTCTAGTGATAGGATCTATATAGAGGAATCAGGACCTCCTTCCTCCTGCCGGTGACCCCTCTAGTGATAGGATCTATATAGAGGAATCCGGACCTCCTTCCTCCTGCCGGTGACCCCTCTAGTGATAGGATCTATATAGAGGAATCAGGACCTCCTTCCTCCTGCCGGTGACCCATCTAGTGACATAAAGATCTATATAGGGGAATCGGGACCTCCTTCCTCCTGCCGGTGACCCCTCTAGTGATATAAAGATCTATATAGAGGAATCAGGACCTCCTTCCTCCTGCCGGTGACCCCTCTAGTGATATAAAGATCTATGTAGAGGAATCGGGACCTCCTTCCTCCTGTTGGTGACCCCTCTAGTGATATAAAGATCTATATAGAGGAATCAGGACCTCCTTCCTCCTGTTGGTGACCCCTCTAGTGATATATAGATGTATATAGAGGAATCGGGACCTCCTTCCTCCTGCCGGTGACCCCTCTAGTGATATAAAGATCTATATAGAGGAATCGGGACCTCCTTCCTCCTGCCGGTGACCCCTCTAGTGATAGGATCTATATAGAGGAATCAGGACCTCCTTCCTCCTGCCGGCGACCCCTCTAGGATCTATATAGAGGAATCAGGACCTCCTTCCTCCTGCCGGTGACCCCTCTAGTGATAGGATCTATATAGAGGAATCAGGACCTCCTTCCTCCTGCCGGTGACCCCTCTAGTGATAGGATCTATATAGAGGAATCCGGACCTCCTTCCTCCTGCCGGTGACCCCTCTAGTGATAGGATCTATATAGAGGAATCAGGACCTCCTTCCTCCTGCCGGTGACCCATCTAGTGACATAAAGATCTATATAGGGGAATCGGGACCTCCTTCCTCCTGCCGGTGACCCCTCTAGTGATATAAAGATCTATATAGAGGAATCAGGACCTCCTTCCTCCTGCCGGTGACCCCTCTAGTGATATAAAGATCTATGTAGAGGAATCGGGACCTCCTTCCTCCTGTTGGTGACCCCTCTAGTGATATAAAGATCTATATAGAGGAATCAGGACCTCCTTCCTCCTGTTGGTGACCCCTCTAGTGATATATAGATGTATATAGAGGAATCGGGACCTCCTTCCTCCTGCCGGTGACCCCTCTAGTGATATAAAGATCTATATAGAGGAATCGGGACCTCCTTCCTCCTGCCGGTGACCCCTCTAGTGATAGGATCTATATAGAGGAATCAGGACCTCATGTACACAATGCTTTGTAATTTGACTAGTTCTTTCTTCTCACCGCACATTTCCTCTTCTACATATAGAAGAGGAACTAGCATATTCTCAATAGACCATGTACATCGACACGGTGTGCTACCCTGGCTATTTATGGACCCGGGGTAAATTATACATTGCTCACTTCTCTAACTAAAGATCTATATAGTGGAATCAGGACCTCCTTCCTCCCGCCGGTGACCCCTCTAGTGATATAAAGATCTATATAGAGGAATCAGGACCTCCTTCCTCCTGCCGGTGACCCCTCTAGTGATATAAAGATCTATATAGAGGAATCAGGACCTCCTTCCTCCTGCCGGTGACCCCTCTAGTGATAGATCTATATAGAGGAATCAGGACCTCCTTCCTCCTTCTGGTGACCCCTCTAGTGATATATAGATCTATATAGAGGAATCGGGACCTCCTTCCTCCTGCCGGTGACCCCTCTAGTGATATAAAGATCTATATAGAGGAATCAGGACCTCCTTCCTCCTTCTGGTGATCCCTCTAGTGATATATAGATCTATATAGAGGAATCGGGACCTCCTTCCTCCTGCCGGTGACCCCTCTAGTGATATATAGATCTATATAGAGGAATCGGGACCTCCTTCCTCCTGCCGGTGACCCCTCTAGTGATATAAAGATCTATATAGAGGAATCAGGACCTCCTTCCTCCTTCTGGTGATCCCTCTAGTGATATATAGATCTATATAGAGGAATCAGGACCTCCTTCCTCCTTCTGGTGATCCCTCTAGTGATATATAGATCTATATAGAGGAATCGGGACCTCCTTCCTCCTGCCGGTGACCCCTCTAGTGATATAAAGATCTATATAGAGGAATCGGGACCTCCTTCCTCCTGCCGGTGACCCCTCTAGTGATATAAAGATCTATATAGTGGAATCGGGACTTCCTTCCTCCTGCCGGTGACCCCTCTAGTGATATAAAGCCAGGAGTCCTGGTGGGGACCCAAAAAAAGAAGAGGATTGGGGTTGCAGGTAAGTTCTATATAACATGTTGTTTGTAATTTAAAAAAAAAATCACAACCTTTAGAATCACTTATATCAGAAAATGACTTTTTTTATTCTCTGTTATTCAGAATTGCCATTTTTTATCACATGATGGATTTCAAAGGAGAATGTTACAAAGTTGTAATAAAAGATTCATGGGTATGCCTCTCTCTCCCATCCCAGAGATGAATTGCTCCGATTCGCACACTCGCAGTAAGACAGTGCCGATTGTGGTCGGGATCGTCCTCCTGGTGCTGATCGTCGCCGTGGTAGCTGCGTACTTTATTGCTCGTAAATGTCGGCACAGATCGGCTGGATACCAACCTCTTTGACACCTTCTGGGAGGACAAAAAACTAACATCGATCTCCAAAGATTAAAAAAAAAAAAAAAAAAAGATAACCTTCCCTGTTATGTTTTTTTAAACCATTTCCATTTGTGTCTTTTATAGTTTTGTATATTTTTCAGTTTTTTTTTTTTCCAATCTCAAACAATCGACTGGCGGGGTTCTTTTTGTGTGATTTACAAAGTCTGTAGGATATTTATGTTTGTTATTTAAAATAAAGGAGAGCCAACGACAAGGTTCACTCATCGATGTGGTACGTTCCTAGCACGAGGTCCTGGGTGTACCGACTGATCGGCCCAAGCCAATTCGGACACTTCTCTCCTACATGTAATAAATATACATTTGTATTGCAAGAAAATTACTTAGAACCCCCAAACACTTTATATACAGTATATATACATGGCTCAAAAAAAATAAAGTAAGACTTTGTAATCCGAGTCTAGCATCAAGTCCATGAACCTCCTGGGATATTGATCTGGTCTGGCAAGTCGCAGAGGGGGTTGTTAGTTTCAGCTGCTTTGGTGTTCATGAAATTACCAACAGGTGCACTAGATGGGAAATAATGAGACGACCCCCAAAACAGGAATGATTTTACAGGTGGTGGCCACTGACATTTTTTTCCCTACTCATCTTTTCTGACTGCTTTTCACTAGTTCTGCATTTGGTTAGGGTCAGTGTCACTACTGGTAGCATGAGGCAATACCTGGACCCTACAGAGGTTGCACAGGCAATCCAACTCCTCCAGGATGGCAGATCAATACGCGCCATTGCCAGAAGGTTTGCCGTGTCTCCCAGCACAGTCTCAAGAGCATGAAGGAGATTCCAGGAGACAAGAGCATGGAGGAGATTCCAGGAGACAAGAGCATGGAGGAGATTCCAGGAGACAGGCAGTTCCTCTAGGAGAGCTGGACAGGGCTATAGAAGGTCCTTAACCCATCAGCAGGACTGGTATCTGCTCTTTTGTGCAAGGAGGAACAGGATGAGCCCTGCCAGAGCCCTACAAAATTACCTCCCGCAGGCCACTGGTGTGAATGTCTCTCTGACCGAACAATCAGAAACAGACCTCATGAGGGTGGCCTGAGGGCCCGACGTTCTCTAGTAGGCCCTGTGCTCACTGCCCGGCACCATAGAGCTGGAGCTCACAGACGTGAAAGGGTCTGGAGAAGCCGTGGAGAACATTCTGCTTCCTGTAACATGGTTCAGCATGACCGTTTTGGTGGTGGGTCAGTGATGGTCTGGGGAGGCATATCCATGGAGGGACACACAGACCTCTACAGGCTAGACAATGGTGTCCTGACTGCCATTAGGTATCGGGATGAAATGCTTGGACCAATTGTCAGACCCAACGCTGGTGCAGGGGGTCCTGGGTTCCTCCTGGTGCAGTGGGTCCTGGGTTCCTCCTGATGCAGTGGGTCCTGGGTTCCTCCTGGTACACAACAATGCCTGGCCTCATGTAGAGAGTATGCAGGCAGTTCCTGGAGGATGAAGGAATTGATACCATTGAATGGCCCTCACACTCACCTGACCTAAATCCAATAGAACACCTCTGGATGATGTCATGTTTCAGTCCATCCGACGACGCCAGGTTGCACCTCAGACTGTCCAGGAGCTCAGTGATGCCCTGGTCCAGATCTGGGAGGAAATCCCCCAGGACACCATCCATGGTCTCATTAGGAGCCTCCCCCGACGTTGTCAGGCATGCATACAAGCACGTGGACTACTGAGGACCATTCTGAGTTGCTGCAATGACATTTCAGCACAATGGACTTGCCTGCTGCATCATTACCTCACTTTGATTTTCGGGGTGTCTTTGAATTCATTCCTCTGTAGGTCGATCATTTTCATTTCCATCAAACGATGGGGCGTCCTTACATTCCTCACCCATCCCCCTTCCATGTCAGTATAGAGATCCAGCAGGAGATTCCTCCCCATTGAGATCTGATGGGTTTTCAAAGTCTTCCTTTCATTTTTTCGAGAAGTGTTTATATATATATTTTTTTTTTTTTAGCAGACGCCCTATAGAATAAAATGGTGGGGAATTTTTTTAAATCACACAGTATTGGTGCAGCAGTTTTTCAAACACATTTTTTTGTTTAAAAATACACAATGAAATGTATTGCACACAATATAATACCTCATATTTTGGTAAAATGTAAAAACATGGTGTTGTGCCGAGTAAATAGACGCCAAACATGTCACGCTTTAAAATTGCGTACATCTATGGAATGGCGCCAAACTACAGTACTTAAATATCTCCATAGGCGATGTTTTCAAATTTTTCACAGGTTTCCAGTTTAGAGTTACACAGGAGGTCTGGTGCTAGAATGATTGCTCCCACTTTGGCGTTTGCGACAATACGTCACATGTGTGGTGCGATCACCGTTTACATATGTATGCGTTTGCATTTGCGTATAAGCACAGGGGGCTGGAACACTTTAATTTTTTTTTTTTAATTATTATTTATTTTAAACTTTTTTTTTACACTTTTTCTTTAATGTTTTGTTTGTATTAACTCACAAAGAATCTTGTGACAGCGTGGGCCATGACAGATCCTCTTTATGGAGATATTTGGGGTTTATTAGACCCCAGATCTGGACAACATCTCTTGTGACAGCGTAGGCCATGACAGATCCTCTTTATGGAGATATTTGGGGTTTATTAGACCCCAGAACTGGACAACATCTCTTGTGACAGCGTAGGCCATGACAGATCCTCTTTATGGAGATATTTGGGGTTTATTAGACCCCAGATCTAAACAACATCTCTTGTGACAGCGTGGGCCGTGACAGATCCTCTTTATGGAGATATTTGGAGTTTATTAGACTCCAGATCTAAACAACCTCTCTTGGGACAGTGTGGGCCATGACAGATCTTCTTTATGGAGAGATATGGGGTTTATTAGACCCCAGATCTGAACAACATCTCTTGTGACAGCACAAGCCATGACAGATCCTCTTTATGAAGATATTTAGGGTTTTTTAGACCCCAGATCTGAACAACATCTCTTGTGGAAGCACGGGCCATGACAGATTCTCTTTATGGAGAGATTTGGGGTTTATTAGACCCCAGATCTGAACAACATCTCTTGTGACAGCACAAGCCATGACAGATCCTCTTTATGAAGATATTTACGGTTTTTTTAGACCCCAGATCTGAACAACATCTCTTGTGACAGCACGGGCCATGACATATCCTCTTTATGGGGAGATATGGGGTTTATTAGACCCCAGATCTGAACAACATCTCTTGTGGGCCGTGACAGATCCTCTTTATGGAGAGATTTGGGTTTATTAGACCCCAGATCCAAACAACATCTCTTGTGACAGATCCACTTTATGGAGAGATTTGGGGTTTATTAGACCCCACATCTGAACATCTCTTGTGGCAGCACAGGCCATGACACAGATCCTCTTTATGGAGAGATATGGGGTTTATCTCTCCCCTGGTCTCCAATACAGCCGTGAAGTGAAAACAAGCAAAGAGCGCACCAACCTTGCGCATTACCTCAGTAAGCAAAAAATGTATTAATTACAGAATAATAATACTCACAAACACTGAAGTATATCATGCATGTGAGTCCTCAAAGGGACTAAGGATGAAAGCAGCCTGCGCGAGTCCCATCAGAGGAGTGGACACCCAGGGAACAGCTGACGCGTTTCAAAGGATGAACCTTCTTCATCAGAGCTCTGTGAGTATTATTCTGTAATTAATACATTTTTGGCTTACTGAGGTAACGCGCAAGGTTGGTGCGCTCTTTGTTTGTTTTCACTTCACAGTACTGGTCGGGCTTCCCCAGCCTTGTTTGGAGCTGCACAACCCCATATGCACTGGTGGTAGAAACTTCCAAGTCCTGACTCCATCTACCTACACCATGTTGGGTCATAGAGCGCAAGAGAGTTCATTTTTTTTTTTCCCTCCAATACAGCCGATCAGACATAGATTGGTTTGATAGGCTGCTTACCTGGCCTCTAGTGGCCAGGAAAATGGAGAGATGGGACCGGAAGTAACGAAATCTCATCTCTTCCGGTTCCTGGGGTCACAGAGAGGGAGGAACAATGTCTCACTCTCTCTGTTTTGTGCAGCCGTCGTCACTGGTCATGGCGATCCCAGGCTCTGTGATTGGACGGAGGGAGGCGGCACTGGGAGGGGATAACCTGCTTCCACCACCCACAGAAGTGATCGAGTGGCCGTTCAGCCCCTTCTACATAAAAAGGAATCGCCAACTGAAAATTGTAATACTGGGATGAGGCCTGTACCTGCAGACACCATCCCGGTATGACCACTACAACTGAAGACGTCATATCACGGCCTACGGTTGGCAAGTGGTTTTAATGTTGATAAATGTTAAAACGTTCTGCATTTTGGAGCTAAAAACATGCATACATCATGTACTGTAGAAGTACAACTGGGGGAGTCAATGGTGGAGAGCAGGAGAATGTCACCAGCACACCTTGGATCTTCCAGAACATATCCAAAGCCTTCCTCAGCCATCCTGTTGTTGCATCAGAAGCAACGTTTTGGAGCCACTCAGGACACCTAAATCAAGCATGTGACGTCTCATACCCGATGAAGGGGCCCTGCGTGGCTCCCAAACATTGCTTCTGATTCAACAACGGGATGGCTGAGGAAAGCTTCGGACATGTTCTGGAAGATCCATGGTGTGCTGGTGACATTCTCTTGCTCTGATTGTCCTTGGTTCCAGCCGGTGGTCGCTGCAGTACCCACACACAGCTATCTCTTGGGGAACCTGTGCGTTGGGAATCGTGTGTTGGGATTCGTGTGTTGGGATCAATGGTGGAGGAGGATCTGGATGTTCCGGTAGGTCACAGACTTAATATTAGCATGCAAGGCCAATCTGCAACTTCTAAAGTGAGCAAAATCCTTTCTTATAAAGAGGTACAGACTCTGGAGAGAGAGAGACCAAATGCCCTATGCAAAGCATTTGTAGCGCTCCCCCCCGAAAGGGCCTACTGATTTGGTCCCAAGGA